TTTTCCTGTATATCTGTCCACAGATTTCATATGTCCATTAAAAATATGATTTTCCAGGTTTTTGTTAGACTGAGTTGTTGGTTTTTTTTACCTTGAGCTTTTATGTAAGCATAACATGTAAACACAAGAGTGCCTGGTTCCCCGACTTTAAAGATGAACCAGTTCTGTGACATCTGTGTTGGACTGTTCTACCTAAGCCCACCCAGCATGTAGAAGGGTAAAGATCAGCCCCATCTTCTCAGTGAGGCCCATGGTGTTCACCGCAGCCCATATGACATATCTTTGTTTAGCTTTGAGGCACTGAAATTGAGTAAGAAGATGGAGCTGGGGAGTACAAGAAAGATTCCTTTTTCCCCCAATTTTAGTGGAAAGCTTGCCACATTCCATTGGGACAGAAAGCAATCTCAGAAGAGAAGACCTTGAAGGTCACCAGCAGGGAGCCATGGTCTTTTTCCCTGGCCAAAACCCACCAGCCTGTGCCTTTCTTTTCTTTCAGGAAATAGATCCTGGTTGCTAACTCTTTCTTCCACCCTGTGTCCGTTTGGTTTGGCAACCTCACACCAGCTGTTCCCACTTCCTTCCCCTGGCTGTAATTACCTAAATGTTAGGCAGAGAAACTTTCCAATTTTGGAGACTCTTCCACATTTATTTATCCTTATGATGACCTCTTCAATGTTACATTGTCCCAAGTAGCTCTCAAAAGTTGTCTTTGTCTTCCTTTGGATTGAGACCTATGCTAGATTGTCTGGTTTGCCTTGCTTCCTGGGTTGGTTATCAAAGCATCCTGGAGAAAACATTTGAGCATGTTTTTGGTACAGTCAGAGAGTACGTTGGTTAAAGGTCCCCTAAAGACTTTAGGCAAGAACGAAGTTGTAGTGGAGTGATGCATCTTCAGAAACAGTTCACGGTTAAGGACCTGGAGTTTATGTTGATTTTTGTTTTTTCATTTTTAGGCTTTTTAGACAAGACATTTCCACTGAGTGATGTGAAGTATTGCAGTTGCCTGTTAAATTTATTCCCCTTCCTCTTTTTTATTCCCCTTCAATGGATTTAGCACAGATTAGTCACTGGGGCTTCCCCGGTGGCTCAGCAGTAGAGAATCCACCTGTAGTCCAGAAGATGCAAGAGATGAGAGTTTGATCCCTGGGTCAGGAAGAGCCCCTGAGGAGGACATGGCAACCCACTCCCGTATTCTTGTCTGGAGAATCCCATGGACAAAGGAGCCTGGTGGGCTACAGTCCATGGGGGTCACAAAAAGTTGGACCCGATTGAAGCAACTGAGCACGCACGCATGCAAACATTCACTATTCCACCTCAGTAGTTAGATACCCTTTTAGGTCTTGTTTGCTGTTTATTTGTACTGAGTTAAAATGCACAAACAGTACCTTTCTTTCTTTAAAGTTGATGCCTCCTTTAAGGTTACATCGTAAGCTGTGAGTAAACTCTTCTTCAGGAGAACCATTTGTACCCATTTAGCTTCTATAAAAACGTGAGCAAGCAGTTAATAAAAATTCAGTAGGACGGCTATAAGGATGATTGAATATAGTTTTAGAATTTTTTATGATGCGTACATTACCTGAAATGGAAGCAAAGAAGACATGTAAGAGGGTTATTACTTCAATAAGTAATTCTTCAGGAGGACATAACATACTGGCTGTAGGCCAGTAAGCACTGTGGTTATTTCCTTTGGTGACAGCCAGAAGGAGCCTTCAGCTCATTCAGCCCGCATCACTGCTCCCTTCATCACCACCTCCATCTCTGTGCCTGGTGCACCAAACAGAAATCATGGTTGAATAGCTCCTGTGCTGGGCGTAAGGACATCGCTCCTTCCAGTGGCTCAAGAACAATGCTGACTCTGATAGGCCTTTAACCAAAGTAGGTGATAGGATACAGCACCAGAAGGGACCAACAATCCCTCTCTCTAGTTGTTAGTGAGTTACAGTAGAGAGAGGTGAGATGACACATGGCCAGTTGGGAGCAGAGCCAAGACTTACACCTATCTATCCTAATTCAGAGTGCAGTGTTTTTTAGATTCATGAACTAGTTAATGTATTCATTCTTTTATTGAGCACCAGCTGTATGCCCTGCAATCTGCTAGGCAATCAGTGGGGATACAAATATGAACTAAACATGGCTCTTGCACCCAAGGAACTCATGATGTAGGACAGGAGAAGCGCATAAAGCGGCAATTGCAGTGTGGTATATCCAGTGCTGTCTCAGAGGTCTGCATGCGGAGTCATGCGGGCCAAGATAAGGACATTAGCTGCTTCTGTTAGGAGGTTAGGTGTCACTGCAGGCAGTCATGAGAACAGGGTTTCCTGTGCAATATGCAGAGGATGCTGTGTGGTACAGGATTAAGAAAAGAGTGTTGTTTTCCTTTTCTTTCTTTCTTTCTTTTTTTTTTTTTTTGCTTAGAGGGATGAGAGAAGGCTGTGCCTATCTAGGAAAGAGTGTGGTTTGCTATTCTGGAGAGATGCTCCATAAATCAAGTTCAGAAAATTCTGCATACTATATTCCTGGCTTTGTGACTATCTGAGCCAGGATAGCTAGACTATCCTGGCTTTGTGTTTTTCATGAACCGTGTGTGTGTGTGTGTGCGCGCGCGTGCGTGTGCGTGTAGTGGGGGAGGTGAAGAGATGCATTAACTACCTGTGAAACATTGTGGGAAAAGACACTTTCACCTTTCCTCTACATCGTTGCTCATCTGTCTCTTGATTTCCACCCCCCAGGGCACTACCATTGTCCAAGTCCAAAGACCAGACATTCCTGGACTTTGGCGATAACTACCTGAATGCTTTTTCCCATCCAATACTAAATACCACCATCTACTTCATATTTTTAAACCTTTTACAAGGTTTACCTTTTAACCACTTGTCTTTCTTGGGTAATACATTCATCCAATATAAACATTTATAAGTGCAAAAAGACATATTACTGAAAAGCTGTCCTCTCATCCTTGTCCTCCAGGCAGTCAGACCCTCTCTCCATTGGCAGCCACTGTTATTGGTTTCTTGTATATCCTTCTAGAAAGATTTTAGAAGTAGACAAATGAGGATTTTATTTTTCTCCCTATTATATACATAAGTAGAAACATAGGGTAACAACCATTCTGCCCTTTCCCTTTGTTTGCTAGGCAGTATATCTTGGAGGTCTTTCCGTATCACTTCATAGAGAACTTTCTCATCTTTTGTTCAGCTGCATTGTATTCCATTGTGTCAAGGAACCGTAGTTTAGTCAGCCAATTTCTAGTTGATAGAACGTTTGTGTTGTTCCCAACCTTTGCTTTTACAAACAATGTCCCAGTGTGTGCAGAGACTTTTATATGTCTGTCACTCACCTGAAAAAACACTTTTACTCTCATGTGCCCAAATGCCCACACAACAGAGGACTTTATTTTGGCATTCAAGGCTTTCTTCTATTAGGCCCCAAATAAATTTCTATTATTATCAGTATGTGCCAAAATGAACTTTCTGTTTTAGCCCAATGATTGAATTCAAGATCTTTTCAATAATAAAAGGAAACCCTTTTATTTCTCTCTTCTATACTTCTCAAAAAAATGAGCTGTTTTCTTTAGCCCCAGGAATAATATTTATTGTTTCCTAAATGGGCCTTTGCATTCGTAGTCCTCTAGCCTGGATTCCTACCTCCCCGCTTTGTGTTTGGAAGATATGACTTTCCCCTTGAATTCCACCTTCTTTGCTGATCTTCAGCCTTTTTCAGTCCCTAGGAACATCTTTTCCCCAGAAACCCCAGTTCTTACTGTCATATCGCTCTTTGGATGTAGGACAGATATGCATACATGGTTGTATGTAGAGACTTATGTTTCTTTTTACATGTGTATGTGTTCTTTTCTTTTGCCAGCAAGATTGTGAGTATTGAAGGGCCTCTTTTAGTATTTTATATACATCTTTAGGGCTCTCAGAATTACCCCGCACAATCCCTTCCTCTTTTTGTTTACCCATCTGTTCCCCTTAATCATTCAGAAATCTTACCTCCTGCTCTAAGCTGAAGCCCTCCTAGGTCCCCCTTTGCCCCACGTCGATCCTGGGATGAATGACAGCCGGTCCCCTGGGGTGAGTGACAGCCTGCATCACTGCTCTCCTTCTGTCGTACCTCGCCTGGGTTGGTTCCGCTTCTGGTCTTAGCCAGACGGACCACACTGTAGACTCCACAAATGCCTCAAGTTTCCTGTTTCCCCGGCAACACACATGCCATCTTTTCTAAAACACAGTCCCATCTCTCCTTTCTCAATCATGGTGCCCCAACTTCAGTGAAGCTTTTATGCCCCAGACTCTTCTAGATTGTCTCTTCCACGTCTCTACTCATCTTGAAGTCTAGAAATAATAATAGCTGGCTTTATCAAGTGCTTTCTATGTGCCAGATATGATATAGCCACATTATTCCCATGATCGCATTTATTTCTCATAATCTAGAAGATGGGGCACCACCTGCAATGTATTTATCATATTTCACTTCTTATGGAACAATACATAACATTTATGACTAGTTATTGTCAGATGTCCTTATTGTCTACATACGATTTGCCCACTGCCCAGTAGCCAGCACCCTTTATTTCTAGCTTTTCTCCAGGCCTGCTGCTGGGTTCCTTCTCAGGGCATGATTGAGACTGTGCTTTGGGAAAGCTAACTCATTTTAATCTCTTTCCCCAACGATTGTAGCTGATAAGATAATTCTGCACATACATACTCTGCAGAAATGATTTGCAGATTTGGGTTTTGGATTCTACATGTTTATGGTGTCTTCCTAAAACCATAGTTGATACTTTTGTGCACTCCTGTCCCCTTCATCAGACTGTAAACTCAGATGCAGGAACTTAGTTGATACCTTTTATTCTTCACATTCTGAATTTCTAATTGCTAGTGATAAATAAATAAAATTGTTAATACAAATTTTGTCACATAGAATATTTCAGTTAATTAGTTGAATTAATTAATTTTGTATTAACTTTTGCTTTATTCTTCTCTTTTCTCTTTTTTCAGGAAATCATTTGCCAGAAGAATACTGTGAGTATTTTACTTAACCCTTCCATAAATGTTTTTATCTTTTCTTTTTTATCAGCTAATTGCTGGTATATTTTCTATTTCCACAAATTATTAATTTCTGTCTCTTCCTTTTAAAGTTTCTGATGTATCAATATAAATATGGCTATTTTACATAAGTATCCCTTTATAGTGAAACTTTATTTATACTAGAGGGAGATGACACTGATGCCTGTTTTTTTCTATATATAATTATGTTTAGAACAAAACTACATAGTATATTCAATTTTGTATAATTATGAGTGTTACTAAAACAGCATATATATATAAATGCACTGATACACACATATGTGTGTATGATATCTATATATACAGATACACAGATATTGATATTATATACTATATATCTATATGTATACTATATATATGAATTATAAATGTTTCAATACATATATACACATACACACACATATGGAGATATGTCTACATATCTCTATCATCTTTACATTGAGATTGACTTAAGTTCCTAAGTCTTATAGAGCACACTTTAAGACCTTTAAAACCACACTACAAAGTTCTTACCCTCCACAGAAAATTAAAAATTAAAGAGTGATAAAGATAAATTTAAGAACTTTTAAATGCATAAAGAATAATTATATTTTGGAATTAGCATGGTTATGTCAATGGTCGTGTTTTCATTTTGGAAAGTAAGCCAGTATTTAAAACCTTAATGTATTTCTGAAATGTAGAGTGGAAATAACATACTGCATAAAAATCTGCACATGATTCCATTTATGATGATAAGATTAAAAGTACAATGGGTAAATTTCCCTTAAATCAGAAATCGAAGAAATTAAGATTTAAGAAATTTAAGAGTTCAGGTCAGGGACTCATTGCAGCATGAATAATGTTGCCACAATAAACTTATCCTTCACATCTCAACAGGAAAAGAACAAGGATTGCTTCATGCATCAGTTCAGTGTAACAGATTTTATGAAGCAACTATTGATGGAACATGAACTGTGTGCCAGGTTTTGGGTTTGGTGCTGCAAGAGACTCACTATGGAGGCTGATAGTGGAGACAACTCTTTCATAATTGTCCCAGGAGACAATTGAGACCTGCCAGAGTGTTGTTGGGGGTGAGGGGGATGGTCAAGCAAATAAGCAAACAAACAAATTAGAAATTAGCATAAGGCAATATCTCAAAGAGTGGGTAGCCCATCTCTCCAGTGGTCATGGAGGTTTTTCAGAGGAGGTAGCATTCACCTGAATGGCAGAGAAGGACTGATCATTCCCAGTGAAAGTCTGGACATGTGGGGAAGCAGGTTTGTGAGTTGACCCAATATTACACATTATGAACAAGTCATCCATTGACTCAAGTAAGCTGCTGTGTTTCCAGTGCTAAGTCCCTCTCAAAAACTGAGTAGAGGTTTTTCAGAGGAGGTAGCATTCACCTGAATGGCAGAGAAGGACTGATCATTCCCAGTGAAAGTCTGGACATGTGGGGAAGCAGGTTTGTGAGTTGACCCAATATTACACATTATGAACAAGTCATCCATTGACTCAAGTAAGCTGCTGTGTTTCCAGTGCTAAGTCCCTCTCAAAAACTGAGTATTTTGGGCATATATTTCAATTATATTTGGTGGCTGAGGGCATGTCTTTCCAGAAACTTAATTCATGCTCCACATGTACTTATGTTCACCTTTATGTAACTTTTAAAAATTGAAAACAGAGTTGGGTTTATTATTTTTTAAACAAAAGTAGTAGAGATAATCGGAGAGAATTCGTCTAGATTTTGAGCTGTGTGTTTTTATAACCATGTAAACAAGTGTGGGCTGAAGAGACCAGTCTTGTTATTTTATGACCATGCCTCATTGTTTTGAAACTTAAGGAAAGGTGGTCTTTCTCCTTCGAGAAGCAGGTTTAATCATTTTAGAATTAGTACCTTATTAATAAAAGACAGTCGTTGCACCTAAAGTGTCTGTTCTTGATCACAGTCTTTTTTATTTTCTTTGGATTATTAGGTATTTCAAAATCAGGATTGGCAGCAATCTGTAAATAGAAATTGCCGTAATGGTATTTCTAAGCTTTATGTGAGCCAACTTGGGAAATAAATGTTCCCATATTATTAGTGTTCATCATTTTGAAAAGGTGCTTTTTTCAATAGCTGGTATCCTTTTAAAAAACACACCATCCACAACCACTCCCCACATCCTTTCTCCCCACTGCAGGCTTCCTGGGTTGGCTCTTAGCTCAGGCCCAGGCTCCTGCTGCTTACTTCTTTCTCCCTTTTTTTTTTTTTTTTTTCTGGTCACCAACAATGGGACATTGAAAAACAGTGCTGCCTTAGAGAAGAGATTCCAAAAAGTACAGTGAGACCAGGAACTTGGGAAAGCCTCAGCATGCAGAATACCTTCAAGGATTCCGAAACGTCATCCCATGGGGTTTGAAGATAGTTGGAATCTGATTTTCTCTGCTATTTGCATGAGTCATCTTTCTTTCTTTACCTACCTACTGCTCAATACACACCCAGACATCTGATATTCCTCCTCTCTCAGAATGTTTTACACAGATATGTTATTTCTCAGTGTCCAGTCTTTCAGTAATAATGTATTCTACTTCTTATCTTATACACAAATACACATGATATTAAGGCTTCTGAAGGTGCAGAACTTTATCCAGCAGTAGAGGAATAATATTCCAAAATTTCAATAGTGCTTTTCTGGTGTAACGGCTTCTCACCTGTTTGTCCTTACCTTGTGACTTAGAAGATTTAGAGCCTTCTCTTTTGTGGTTTTGAGTCAAAATGCTTTTCAGAAATAGGAGTATTTTATTCTGTTGCTCTTTTACAACTCACCCAAAAGTTTAAGCTCTAGAAGATTGGAAAAGCCATCTCTTGATATGCCTTTCTTTTCTGCTTAGACAGTGGCTTGGGTCACAGAATTAGTTTGGTGAACCCGCTCTGGGATCTTGGTAACATTTTAGAAGCAGGGTATGTTTATTTTTCCTCCTCCTGACTAGTCTTCCAATTACTGTTCCATGAAGGAGAATTTGTGAAAGGAACACCTTAATGTGCTTGATTTAAAAATCAAATTGCAACCTTTGGAGGTTCTTCTCATACTTTCCAGTCCAGTTTCTGCTTCATTACCTGAGATACAAGTGTCTCAGAGAATAACATGGTCATAAATAATCAAGTGGGGCTATTGAGGGCATTTGGTACTTCTTGGCTGTTTGCTACGAGGCAGTAACTTGGCTCATGCAGGGGTCCGTGCAAGATGACCTGAAGCAGAGTTGGTGTGCCAGCAAACCAAGGACACTCGGGAGGTTGCTCAGCCCCCTAGCCATAATGGCAGGCCCTCTGGAAAAGGAGTCCATGGACTGGTGTCCTAGACACATCACAGCTCAGCTGTGTGACCTTGCAAGCCTTACCTGAATCCTCACCTGTGAAATGGAGACAAGATTCCTTCCATCAGTGGACTGTTGTAAACGTATGACCGTTCATTCCTTGGCACCTGCACGTAATGAATAAATGTTTACTCTCATTCATTTAGTTTAAAGGATAAGAGAAGCAATGCATTGTTCTCCATTCTGCTGACATGGAACATATGATTTGGGCTCCCGGACTCCCTGGAAGAATGATAAATAGACTTTTCTCCCCATCTCATTATAGTTTTCAGCCTTCTGCTCTCTCTCCAGCTTTTTCTCTTAGAGGTCTGTCTCATTTCCTCAGACTCAGCCATACCAGATAATTTCCAGGTCTGCATTTTGGCTTGGAACTCTTGGATGTTATCACTTTAGAAGTCCTCTTCCCCTTAAATCCCAACCTTTCAGAACTGTGCGTGTCACGCTACTCACCAAATCAGATCTCACTCTCTTGAAGTTCATGTCATATTTTAACTAGAAGTCAGGCTCTGTTTATGATTCATTACCTAATACATAAGAAATGCCCCCAAATGTAATTTGTTCATAAATATTATTAAGCCTGGTTCTGCTTCTGAATTCTTGCTTTTTGTTAAGGATCCCATTCTCCTTTAAGGAGCCCCGTTTACAACAATGGAGTGGCCTTCAATGCCTTCTTCTTCCTCTCTTTCAATATCTGTAACTGGTTGTCTGGTCTCAGTGATTCTTTCTTCTTAACATCAAGTTCATGCATCCACTTTTGTGATCTGGTCTTGCTTTGTAGCTTCCCACCTAATTTCCTTAAATGTCATTTCTTTCTCTCTCTGTGCATTCTGTTTTCTGCCCAGACTGTCAAAATGCACAGCTTTAGTTATGTTTTCTTTCCTACTCCGAATCCTTCCAGGATTCCCACTGCCCGGAACAGAGACTGAAATCCTTGGCTTTGTATTCACTTCCCTTCCCTGAGCCCTAAGCTCCAGTCAGGCTCTCTTCCTCAGGGGCATCCAGTCTGATGTCTCCTTTATTCTTCCAAGTTCCACTTGTGTTTGCACTAGTGCACCCTCCCTTGGCATCATCAGGAACAGATAGAAGGTCATGCTGAGTGAATGGAGAGGGATACAGGCTGAGGCTAGAGAGAGACACAGGGTTTGGATAGTTAAGGCCTTGTAGGTGACGGTAATCTATTTTATCTTCATCCCAGGAGCAAGGGAGGGGGCTTGAGCAGCTGAGAGAAGTCATCTGATGTATGTTATTGAAAGAGCCCTTTGACAGCTGGGTGAAAAAACAGATTGATAGGCAAGAGGAGAAGCAGGGAGCCCAGGTAAAAGCCAGTTACAATGGTCCAGGCCAGGGTGATGGTGGCATGGTCTGCAGTGCTAATAGAGAAGATGGAGTGAAATGAACAAACAGGAGATATATCTTGGAGGTGGAATAGACAGGACGTTGATAGTTTGTGGGACGTGGAGGAAATGGAAGCATCAAGGATAACTTCAGGGTCTCTTGTTCAGCTGCAAGGTTGTATCCAACTCTTTTTGACCTCATGAACTGCAGCACGCCAGGCTTCCTTCTCCTTCACTATCTCCCAGAGTTTGCTCAAACTCATCTCCATTGAGTCAATGATACCATCCAACCATCTCATCCTCTGTCACCCACTTCTCCTGCCATCAGTCTTTCCCAGCACCAGGGTCTTTTCTAATGAGTTGGCTCTTCGCATCAGGTGGCCAAAGGATAGGAGCTTCAGCTTCAGTCCTTCCAATGAACATTCAGGGTTGATCTCCTTTAGGATAGACTGGTTGGATCTCCTTCCTGCCCACAGGACTCTCAAGTCTTCTCCAGCACCACAGTTCAAAAGCATCAGTTCTTTGGCATTCAGCCTTCTTTTGTTGTCCAACTCTCACATCGGTACATGGTTACTGGAAAAACCATAGCTTTGACTATATGGACCTTTGTTGGCCAAGTGACGTCTCTGCTTTTTAATATGTACGGTCTCTCGATTTAGTAACTGAGATGTTAACAAAGCCATGACTGTGATCGAGCAGCCTGGAGGGGATCAGCTTATTCTGGCATCGCTCACACTTCGGTGTTACGTGGGCAGCCCTGAAATGTTAGCTCTTATCATTTCCATGTATTTATGCTGTGTCTCTGACAAGTTTTCTGAAGGCTGAGGGCTGTGTTTTAAACTACCTTGTTTCACCTACAGCATATATCATAGTACTGTAGCCAAGAGAATGGTGGATAAATATTTAATGGATTGATAGAAACTGTGCCATGCCGTATTTTTTTTTTATCATGTGTAAGTCTGAATTACTTGAAGTAAGCAATTAAAGAACTTGGAGGAAATTTTCATAGGTCATGAATAGGAAATGAAGTTTTTTTTAAATTTCCCTTCACATTTAGGATTATTATTTAAAAGTCAGATTTGGGGTGACGTTAGTGTGGGGTCAGCAGGTCAGCTCACCACCTCCTGGTGCTTCCTCTTTCCGCAGATGTGCACTGGGAACTACACATTTATCCCTTACATGATAACGCCGCATAACAAGGTCTACTGCTGTGACAGCAGCTTCATGAAGGGCTTGACTGAGCTCATGCAGCCGAACTTTGAGCTGCTTCTGGGACCCATCTGCTTACCTCTTGTGGATCGTTTCATTCAGCTTTTGAAGGTGGCGCAAGCGAGTTCCAGGTGAAGTTTAATAATGCCGTTTGGTAGTGATAGTGAAGTGTTTGTGTACTTAATTTATGTAAGTCCCCTACATCTGAACCTGGACACTGTGAACTTTCCAAGATGTGAACGTGAGTCTGTATGTGCAGCCACATAAGTTGGTTTCCATACGTGGCGTACATTGTCACTTGCAGCAAGCCCTCCATTTCCTCTTGCTGACAACCCTTCAGCTGTACTATCTCCCACCTCTCTCTCTTCTCCAGTCAGTAACTCTTCCTACGTCTTTACTTGATGCCAATCTCTGTATGCCTGCTCTTATACTATATGAATGTACTGTACTGTAAGGTTAAAAATGTTTTATTTTTCATGTTTATTTTTTACACATTATTTGTGTGAAAAGTATCATAAATCTATTAAAGTACAGTACTATACAACCGATTGTGTTCATTGGGTACCTCGGCTAACTTTGTTGGACTTAACAAACAAATTGAACTTAGGAACGCGCTCTCGGAACAGAACTCATTCGTATGTCGCGGACTTGCTGTATTTATGCACCTTATCAGATGTTTCTTACATATAATACTCAGTCAAGAACCAGGTAAATATATATATAATGTCCTTTAAGTGGATAAAATACGTGTAGCATAGTCTATCTTTTGAATTTTGTCCACTTTATTCAGAGGAGAACAACTTGAAATCAGAAAAAAGAAAGACTGCTATCTGTGTTATAGTAATGGTAGAGCTAAAAATATATTCCATGTAAGTACAGAAACATTATCTGAATAAACGTCCAGGGACTTTTAGTGTAAGGACAAGAACTCTCTAAAAATTGTTGAAAGCACTGTTATATTTTAGTTAAGAGGAGTCATTTATTGCTGATAAATGATGATGCTGGATCAGAAGGTACATGTTATATTATGTTCAAATCATGGGCACACCTAATTTATTTAGAACAATTTCTACTCAAGACAGGAAAATGAGAAATAAAGTTTTAGCGTTTTAACTGGAATACTGCAGGCTCTCGGACAACTCATTAACGTGGAGTATCTTTACCTTTCATTCTTCCTGGAGCAAGGCAGAGTGTAAAATATTCGGATGCCCCAATGTTTTAATAATACCAGCTAGATGAGGTGTTCGTTCTGTACATCTTAATGGTCTGAAAGATACGAATGCTGCAGGTGTCATTTATTTCCTTACAAGGTCACTGCTTTTCATTGAAATACTGTCTAGTATCGACTCTTAAAAATGTGTGTTTTTCCACCAGCCAGTATATCCGGGAGTCTATACTCAACGATATCAGGAAAGCTCGTAACTTATATACTGGCAAAGAATTGGCAGCTGAACTGGCAAGAATTCGACAGCGAGTGGATAATATTGAAGTCTTGACAGCAGATATTGTCATAAATTTGTTACTTTCATACAGAGATATCCAGGTGAGAAGATGCTCAAAATCAAGTCTTGGTTGTGTATCATGTTGGAGGAATAAGGGAGTGTTAATATCCAGTTTCAGTTAGCTAGTAAGTCACTCATGTTACTACATGTAATTTTTTATTGACTCTCCTAAGCTTTCCATCCAGAGATTTTATGATAAATGAATGGACTCATATAAGTTAACCATCAGTGATTATGAAAGTCTTGTACGGTAAAGGGCTGCCTTTTTCCTGCAAAAGAACAGAAAGAAAAATTTGCATGCATAGCTAATCCACAGTTCTGCTCTGCTAGCCTCAGGCACACCTGCCTGTCACTAAGTGAAATCTTTGTTTTAGCAAAGAACAGACATTTTTAGAGCTTTCCAGATATATCTCTTACTCCTAGAATTGTGTTGCTTGGAATTGATAGTGCTGGATCTAACTAGCCAAAAGTAAGAAATGTGCAATTGATTAATTATAAAAATAACTTTAAAAATAAGTACTATTTTATTGGGAAGTCTTAAAATTTTTTAAATTACGCTAAGAAGAATCATGGGGCTAGTGGTAGAGAAACCACCTGTGCATGTAGGAGACATAAGAGACGTGGGTTCGATCCTTGGGTCAGGAAGATCCCCTGGAAGAGGAAATGGCAACTCACTCCAGGATTCTTGCCTGGAGAATCCCATTGACAGAGGAGCCTGGCAGTCTACAGTCCATGGGGTGGCAAAGAGTTGGACATGACTGAAGCAGCTTAATACAACACACACAAGAAGAATGAAATCCTCTCTGAGTTGGGGATTTGCTGTTGGATTTTTACAGTAAAATTTAAGTGACTTGTGGTTTCCTATTCCTACCCTTTCAGGCTCAAGTAAAGCTTCATGTGGATAACAGAGATTCACATACAGGGAGATGTGTGGCACTTAAGATCCCATGACTGGAGAGCCTTCTAATGTTGAAACCAAATATTTTTGTTATTTATAACAGAAGTTCTATCGGTTGTTCCATGTTCTTGATATCTTGAAAATTGTCTCCCTGAAAGTAATTGACAACATCCTGCATACAAGGAATCTAGCTCCAGGGAGAAGTAAACCACCTATACTGAGAAAATGTAGTATTACCATGCTAGAGAGTTTATTGTTTTGTAGGTCAGAGATGGTAACTCAATATTTCCAGTGTTTTATCTATATAATCTAAAACCCTTATTCAGGCAAGCAAATGAACAAACAGTTTCTTCTTGGTTCTAGATTCTTTAAGGTATTTCATGGGTTCTAGTTCCTTTTTAATACCCTTCTTGGTTTCAGGCATCTGGTTGTTCAAAGGCATTTCATTGTCAGGACTTTCTCCCAAAGATTTAATTCTATGTTATTCTTCTCCCATTTGAAAGGACTATGATTCTATTGTGAAGCTGGTAGAGACTTTAGAAAAGCTTCCAACGTTTGATTTGGCCTCCCATCACCATGTGAAGTTTCATTATGCATTTGCACTGAATAGGTAAGAAGAAAAAGTTCCCCCCACAATGTGCCTAATGTATTACTTTTTAACCTGCATATTCTTTCCAGGATTTGTTTTTCATGTAGCCTTGCAACCACTCCTATTATAATGTATTGTTAATATTTCTACTTCAACCATATAAAACATAGGAAGCATTCATTCTGATTTTGTCTCACTTTTCGTGAGTAAAAGAAGTATCCTCAATGTTTATATATCTAAATTCTTAAAATTCTTTTGCTTCTCTGTCAAAGTTTGTATTTTCTATTTAAATATATTTGGGGGATTTTTTAAATTACATGGATGAGATATTGTCTTTAAATAGACTGAACACCAAGTGGTTATTTATATGCAAACTAACTAGAGTAGGGATAGTTATGTCTAGGGGAACATATTCCTAATCAGAGAAGATTTTCACTGAGATTGTTCTGAATATACCTGATTATTAATATAATCAAAACTCTGTGGACCACATTTTAGGTCATGTGTCCATGAATTTTCTAGGATCAGGACTAATAGTGATGCTTCCAGTCCTGCCTCTGTGCTTTCTGTCCGCATCATGACTGACACCTACCCCAATGCCACTTTCTACCCAGAGTCACCGTGGAAGACCACCCCTACTCTAGCCATAGAGAGGCCTAAAGCACTAAACTCTCCAGAACTTAGTTTTGCTGTTCTCTTTGATGGTAGAGAGTTGGATATGTATGTAATCACTACAGTTGAAGAGAATGATTTTAAAAAAAAGAGAGAGAGAGAGAGAGAGGGGAGCCTCACATCTATTTTTCATTTGCCATGAAGTCTTAATTATTTTACCGATGAGGAAACTAAAGTGCTTGAGTGACTTTTCTTCAAGGCTCGTAGTTATGTCATAACACAGGCTTAGACCCAGAGCAAGCCAATTCTGGCACTTGTATTCTCCCTCACTCAGTTCTCCTGCCTTTGTCTCCAAAGAAAAGTCAGCGTGCTGTCCAACCAGATATTGTGTCTTTCCTTTATTCTTCTGCCCAAGTCCTACAATGTGCTACCTTTATCAATATGATCATGAAAGTCAATTTTATCTCCCCATTTATTAAACATGTTTTCTTTAGATTTGGCAGAGAGAGATGAAAGCTCCAGAGATTATCTTTTCCAACTGGTTTTCAAATAAATCCTTTTTTGAAAGATGAAATGGAAGATGGAATGAAATATATTATATTTTGAAATGAAAAATGAAAGTCCCTAAGAGCCTCTTATATTTTCTTTTATCTATATTTTGTCTCTGTCTTTCCTAAGATAGAATAGAATGAAATGATAAATGTATTTGTATCGAGCATTATTCTAAACTGAAGGCTTTTAGTACAGAATGTAGAAAGGAATTTCATGTACAGAAAGATTTAAAATAGTAATTGAGAATAGAAATAACTCTTTTATGTAACAGTTTTACTGAAATATAATTCATAAATCATACAATTTTATTTAAAGTGTATAATGCAATGGATTTTAATATATTAACAGAGTTGTGTGACCATCAATACCATGAGTTTTAAAGTATTTATATTACCTTTCCCAAAACCACCCACACCCAGTCCTGCTCCAACGGGGGCAGGACACTCTCCCATTCCTCCCAAATCCGGACCTAGGCAACCACAGATCTCATTCTGTCTCCATAGATTTGCCTATTCTGGATGTTTCATGCAATGAGATTGTACAATATATAGTCTTTTTGTGGCTGGCTTCTTTCATTTAGCGTAAATGTTTTCAAGGTTCAATAAAGAACTCTTAAAGAGAATTTTTATCTTTGAGAACAGTCTGTATGTACTCATCAGTTTTAAAATGAGCTATATAAAGCAGCTTCCTTAGGTGACTGATTGGTCAACTCAGGTTGCTTTATTGGTATTGTCTATGAATTAGCTTGCTCAATGTTTTGGAGCAAAAGCCACTGAAACCTGTAGCATCAGGGTTTTGCCCCTGTTTGGATTCCTTGACTCTGTCCCGTTCACGGCCACAGGCTGCATTCTTAATCTGACTCTGTCAGCTTGAACCCACACAGAGACCGCAGGGAAACTGGAATGACTGTGGATGGATAAGCACAAATCAGCACATCAGCAGAAAACCAGCTCTAAATAAATCCTTTTTAGATGATTAGACATGCAGTAGGCTAAAAAAGAGTTGCAGAAGACTTTCAAAACATAATTGTTGTTTTTATCCTGCCAAACTTATTAATGTGAATCAGTGTTTTAAACAGACTTTTTAAAAAGATGATTGGCCTAAACTGCTTCTGTAGTCTATACAGAAAGAGTGATGTTCCCTTTCTCTATCTTAGGAGAAACCTCCCTGGAGATAGAGCAAAAGCTCTTGACATTATGATTCCTCTGGTGCAAAATGAAGGGCAGGTTGCTTCAGATATGTATTGCCTTGTTGGTCGAATCTACAAAGATATGTTTTTGGACTCTAATTTCATGGACACTGAAAGTAGAGACCACGGAGCTTCTTGGTAAGTGTTTAGGATAAGATATTTGGTAAGTCCATGACACAAAAAAAATCATTTGTAAATGAGTATTAAATTATTGTTTTCATTCTTTAGATTGTATATTATAAAATAAATCTTAGAATTTATAGCTTTAGCAAATAATTTTGATGAAATTCATTTAATAAGGCAGAGTAAATTGGAGTAAATTGGTGGAAAAGATAATGGTTCAAGAAAACAGAATTTTTAAAAGATATAAGTATAACACAATACAAGTATAATTGGAGGAAATTCATAAAACTTTACAGAAAGACATGAAATAAGACCTGAATGAATGGAAAAATATACCAAGTATGTGGATGAGAAGAATTGATAAATCAAGAAGACTTGATTTAAAGATGTTAATTCTCTACAGCAGGACTTTTCATGAAATTCAACAAATTGATTCTAAACTTTGTTTGAAAAAATAAAGGGTCAAGAATGGGCAAAGCTATTTTGGAGAATGAGGTGGAGGGATTTGCTTTCCCAGATTAGGCGTCCTGTAACTGTTACAATTAAGGTATTACATTATTAGTGTAAGTGAAGTGAAAGTCGCTCAATTGTCTCCGACTCTTTGCGACCCCATGGACTGTGCAATCCATGAAATTCTCCAGGTCAGAATACTGGAGTGCATAGCCTTTCCCTTCTCCAGGGGATCTTCCCAACCCAGATATCGAACCCAGGTCTCCCACATTGCAGGCGGATTCTTTACTTGAGCCACCAGGAAAGCCCAGTATGAGTGCAAGCATAGAAAAACTGGGAGATTGGGATTGACATATATATGCTACCATCTGTAAAATAGATAGCCCTGGAGGAGGACATGGCAACCCGCTGCAGGATTGTCTTGCCTGCAGAATCCCCATGGACAGAGGAGCCTGGTGTGCTGCAGTCCATGTGGTCACAAAGAATTGGACATGACTGAGTGACTGATCACACAGCACAGTGGGAACCTGATGTATAGCACAAGGAACTCAGCTTGGTGGTCTGTGGCGACCGAGGTGGGTGGGATGGGGGTGGAGAATGGAGAGAGTTCCAAGAAGGAGGGGATATATGTATATAAATAGCTGATTCACTTTGTCCTGTAGCAGAAACTAACAGCAACATTGTACAGTAATTATACTCCAATAAACTGAAACAATTAAAAAAATAAAACACTGAAATGGAAGACAGAGCCTGGAAGAAACAAACTGAAACAGCGCCTGAGACATATCAGTTTGTGTGCCTATGACTAGATTTATGGTATGATATGCTTCATGAGGGCAGGAGACCAGATTTCATCCCTGGGATGGGAAGATTCCCTGGAGAAGGGAATGGCTACCCACACCAGAATTTTTGCCTGGAGAATTCCATAAACAGGGGAGGCTGGCAGGCTACAGTCCATGGCGTTGCAAAGAGTCAGACACAACTGAGCAACTTGCAGCTATGCTTCATGAGCCAGAGTGGAAAGAATGGACTCTTTAGGAATGATATTGGAAAAATTTGTTTACCTGCCTGTAAAAATAAAAATGAATCCCTAGTTTAACCCACACACACAAAAATAAAATCCAAGTGAGTGAATTAAAGATCAAAACATTTTATTTGAAAAAATTTTATAATAAAATACACAAAATGGATTTATGACTTGGAAAGGGAAAAATTATCTTAAAGAAGGCTTAAAAATACCATAAACCACAAGATATTGGGGAAACTAGAGCCCATTAAAATTTGCATCTGCTCATCAACTCTTTGGGAAAGAGTAGCTCCTATGGCACTGACCTTCCTGCCAATAACAGTTATAAACATTGCGAAAACACTTTTTAAAAAGTTTGAAAGCACCAAAGAGTGACTAAAGATAGTCAGAAACTGGAGAGCTTTTGATTCTTAGATGAGGAGTACTGCATTAGATAAGATCCACATATATAAGCTTTTTCCTTTGGGAGAGCTCTCAAATCTGCAGGCTTAAGGAAGATACAACTCAAGAAGAAAACCATAGTCTTACCAGTTGAAGGAGTTAGTTTGAGGCTGCCAGTTCAGTTCAGTTCAGTTGTTCAGTCATGTCCAACTCTTTGTGACCCCAAGGACTGCAGCACACCAGGCCTCCCTGTCCATCACCAACTCCTGAAGTTTACTCAAACTCATGTCCATTGAGTCGGTGATGCCATCCAAACATCTCATCCTCTGTCCATCCCCTTCTTCTCCCGCCTTCAATCTTTCCCAGCATCAGAGTCTTTGCAAATGAGTCAGCTGTTCACATGAGGTGGCCAAAGTATTGGAGTTTCAGCTTCAGCATCAGTCCTTCCAATGAATATTTAGGACTGGTTTCCTTTAGGATGGACTGGTTAGAGCTCCTTGCAGTCCAAGGGACTCTCAAGAGTCTTCTCCAACACCACAGTTCAAAAGCATCAATTCTTTGGCACTCAGCTTTCTTTATAGTCCAACTCTCACATTCATACATGACTACTGGAAAAACCATAGCTTTGACTAGTGCCTGCAAATTGAATGATAGATCCCTTACATGAAGGAGCCACAGAGAGAGCCCAAAATATGCATAGAAGCCACCTTCCATTCTTGGCTGACCCCTGACATCTGCACACATGTGGTAAAACTCAAAGGAGTCTAGCAGAAAATAGGAGCTAAAAAGCTAGAGCTGAACCAAGATTTCAGCAGCCGTGCAATGTAGGAGAGACAGAGTTTGGGGTTTGAATCTCACCAAGTTAGAGGGGCTTGATAAACACTTTGAGCTTTCCACTGAAACTCCAGTAGGTCCAAGCCTTCAGAATAAAAAACCACATCCAAGGACTAAGGAAGGGTACTAAAACGAAGAGGAAAACCAGTTAAGCACCACCTTAATAAAACCCCAAACCGAAACTACACAAAAACAAGGTGAACTGACAATAATTTAGGTGCCTGTTGGAACAAAACTCAATACTCTTAAGAGGAAGATAACAGAATCCAAACTCTATGATGTATCATCCAAAATGCCTACTACCCCATCAGAAAGTACTGGATTTGTGAAGATAGGAAAGTGTGATCCACAATAAAAACATCAGTCAACAGGAATATACTGCAAAGAAACACATGGCAGAAGGATACAGAGTATGATTTTGTTTATAGAAACTTTGAAACCAGTCATACACATCTAGTAAAAGTATAGATGCATGAATGTACATAATAAATCCCCAATGTAGTATCATAGTTCCCAGTAGGGAAGGAATAAAAAGGGATCATGGAATATTTCACATGTGGCTGCAAGAATATTTAAAACATTTTATTTCTTAAGCTGAGTGGTGGGTATGTGGGTAGAAAATGTTGCTTATATTATTCTTCTGTACCTTTTAGTTTCTACCACTGTTCCCCAAATAGTCTCTGATTCTAAAAAAAATTATTAAAGAAGGTTGACTTACAGAAAGAGACAAATACCGTATGATATCACTTATATGTGGGATCTAAAGTATGACACAAATCAACCTATTTCACAAAACAGAAACAGACGCACTTGGAGAGCTAAGTTGTGGTTGCCCCGGGGGAGGGCCTGGGGAAGGGATGGATGTGGAGGGTGGGATAGCAGATGTAAGCTATTTTATGTGGGATGGATAAACAACAAGGTCCTACTATGTAGCCCAGAGAACTATATTCGATAGCCTCTGATAAGTCATAGTAGAAAAGAATATGTATATTTGTATAACTGAGCCACTTTGCTATACAGCAGAAATTAACACAACGTTGTAAATCAACTCTACTTCAGTTTAAAAAAAGGTCGATTGACTTAGTTCAGGTATTCCTTAGTAATGGCCATAACGTTTTTTAAGTTGTGAAATAGAGATCTTAACATTTCAAAATCTTGTGTCATCCTACCAGTTTAGCAAGGGACTGAAATTGGGTTAATGGATTTTAACCAGGGAAGAAAATTTGGGGACAGTGACTTTCTGGATTTTCATGGACAGATTTGGTTTGGACTTTTAAATTTGAATTATAAATTTTTATTGCAATCAATGGAGAGTTTTACCGTTTCCCTTAACCAGTTTTTTTTCCCCTGATGTCATAAAACAGAAATGTACCTATACAACCTTTTTTATTACCAGAAGATTTCTTTAAGAATAAATTCTTTTTTAAGAAGAAAGGTTTCTTTAATCTTTAAGAAGATTCTTAATTGTAGGAACATTAGAATCTGATATTTAGAAGCATTGTGCTGGTATAAATGCTTTGATTTAATGGTGATAATGAAATGCATAGATAATCTTTGGAAGTCTGATTTTCATGGTCAGTGAATTAAAATAGAAAACATCTTTTATGAAGTTCATGTGCCTCATGCACAGGAATAGAAGTGTTTCCCCGTTTGAAAAACCAAACAATTTAGACTACTGAGAGCTTTCAAGGTCACATAAAGTTCAGTCAAAAGGAACACAGTTTTTTTTCTGGTTGTGTTTTTGTTCTGTCTTTCTATACTTCCCAATTCTGATTCCTTTTCTATGGTTCCTATTAAACTGAAGAACATTAACTAGCTCTCAAAAGAGCTTTGTCTTTTAAGTCTTCAGGTCAAATTGAAGTTGTTGGGCTTTGTATGATTTCATTTTAAGCTGTTGGTTGATTTTCTAGTAAGAACAGGGAAAGCTGTTAAAACTCAAAGTCTTTTCATGGGAGGAGCCTCAGGAGTTGATCTGGGTGTATCACCCACTGATATATTGAGTAATATAAGAATGTCACTTCTACTGTAGATTACAGGTCTATAATCTGCCATTATTGTCATATTGTCATTATATCCATTTGTCATAAGGGTCATTACAAAGATTTCCCCCCTATTTTAGAAGTGTTTTTTCATGCCTTCACACTTGTAAAGCCACTTCAGTGTTTCTTACTGTTTCCATCCAACCCACTCCCACTCACTTGCGATGGTGTGTTGGCATCATCTGTAATCTCTTGTTATGTCACAGCTGAAGTAAAAGCACGTTGTCAAGGTGCTGACTCAAGAGTTTTGTTACTGAGGTTATTCGGCTGCTGGCCAGGCTTAC